AATTTCAAAGTTATTTAACACTTTTGGAAAGAGATGATATAATCAAAGAAACGAAGGGGAGAAGAAATAGGCAGAAAGGTAATTTCAGCTGCAAGGTTTAATGAAAAGATTTGGCATAAAAAAAACCGACAATTTCCCCTTAATATTCCTACAGTTACCAGTTATGAGCCCATTTCTAACAATAGTCGGAATCAAAAAATTAGTTAAACAATGGTTAAATTACGGATTTCATAACATTGAAGCTCGTGTATTAAATTTCCATCGACATTTTCATGTGTTCATGAGTTTGATATAGACGTGAGGGTAAATCGACATTTCCGTAATATTGTAAAAGAAATAGATAAAATATAAAAAATATTACCAAATATCACTAATACGTACACATAATATTAATATTAATCATTTTAAACTTATTCGAAAACTATATTTGTTTGTTAATTTAAATATTTCTTACAAATTTTTTTATTTTTATAACCTTTATAGAAATATCTATAGACATCAAGATTTTATCAATGTTTCAACGGACATTCTCATTGAGAGCTCGACATTTTCATCAATATCGTTAATTAAAAACTTGATTGAAACTAAATAAGTTTCTAAATTTAAAGATCGATATAACTTTTTTTTAGTACAACAAGTAGAGGCGAGAGGGTTCGAACTCATACCTCTGGTTCAGAGATAAGTTCCAATTACCGTTGAGCTACACTCGAATCTCTAGAAAAAAAAGATTGGTCATAAATCATTCCTTTATTTTTTTACACTCAGCTCTTCCTTCTTTGAATTAGGGTGAATATGGTTTATGGGTTGTAAAAGTGATTTTGAAAGTTCTGTTTTAAGGATGAAATTTGACTGCTGAGAGAACTAAGAGAGCTAGATTTGTCGAGTGCTAGAATCAGTAAAAAAAAAGAAAAAGAAAAGAGCTCTAATACTCAAGTCAGTAGAATCTGGAATGTTCACGAACAATCAAATTTTGGTATCTAAGTACGAAATCTATTCTTGTATTTATAGAGTTGAAACATGAGCTCTCATTGGTCACTGAGCATGATTCATGGGAATATCTAAGACATGCGTTTTGTATAATGAGCAAGCGGTTGAAAATAGTTTTCTCCTTGACACTTGTCTCCACCTTGGTCAAGGTCGAGGTTGAGGTTTGGGTGAAGTTTCAAACCCATAGCGCAAACATTCATTACTTCTCGCACGGTCAACAAACTCATGTGGTAAGAACCAAGTTGAGCGCACTACTTGGTGTGACTCAAGCTTTTCATGTTCGAATCAGGCCTACATGTCCAATCGAGATTGGTTCACGTGCTGCTCTCGATTTTTCCTCATATAACAAATTTTTTCAAAAATATGATTTTAGAGGATCTTCAAATAAGGCCTAGGGAGAGAAAAATGAGATAGTTTGCACCATGAAATGAGTTTACACTAGTTGAAATGGAATGAATTTTTTTCTTTCTTTTGACTGGATTTTAGACCTAATATGAAGGAGCAAAATAAGGAAAAGATCATGGAATTAAAGAATAGTAATCATATATTAAAAAAAAATTCACAATGAAATTTAAAATAAATGAGAAAATTAATTATTTTGTGGTGTGATTTTAAGAATTAAATATAGATTCGCTAAAGATATTATATCATCAAAATAAAAATAAAAAATAGCGGGTATGCATATATAAATAAGACGATAAAGGGTCATCAAGAGTCATCTTAGTACCAAAAAGTGCAAAACTAAAAGGATGTCAGGTGCTTCTCGGTCTCGTTATCCTCCTTGTCCTAGTGGTACTTGCACAAACTCTGATTTTTGCACTTTGTGTCAAGGTGAGTGCTCTCTCTCGAGTTAAAAAGTTTTCATTTACCTTTATAAAGACTAAAAGCTAGTTCATGCAGGACATAAACATAGATGGCCAGAACTAAGGGGAAAGAGCGGACTAGTGGCTAAAACGATAATTGAAAGTGAAGCCCCTTTGTGAAAGTTATTTTTATTGGAAAGAACATGGTTGAATTCCCTAACTTTTGTTGTAATCGTGTTTACGTTGTTGTTGATCAACGTGGTCATGTGTTAAACATCCCAACAGTTGGTTGACGATGTGGGAAAAAAAAAGTTATATTATCTTTATAAGATTATCCTTTCAAATAATATTATGTTTAGACAATTTATTTGTGAAACTCAAATGTATAATGAAACAATTTTAGCCTAAAATCTATATCAGGATTAGAGGTGAATTTTGAAAAGGAAAATACTTGCTCTCGGTATTAAATATTTTGTCTTTACCATCATTAAATATTTCACAACTCATCATTTTCTAAAAGCTTTTTATATTTTTGCATTTCTCTATCTTAGTTTGTCGAGTATTTAATAGAATAATTTCAAAGTTTTAAAATTAGTTGATAATATATAACACTTGAAAACTCTTTCCCGATTTAGAACCTCAACCTCAAATTTGGAGGGATTTCAAAGTCTTAACGAATTTTGAAATCTTTTCTTGGATAAATAAAAAAAATTGAAATCCTAACTAATTCGGAATTCTGTTTTTGGTCCAAATATTTTTCGCTACAAATAGGAGTTTAAACATAACAAATTCTTATTTTGTCATATTATAGTGCAAAAAAAAGGGTAAATTGCAAAAATCAGAAGTATGGTGGTTGTTACAATTACACCCTTAAACTTTTAATTGTAAAAATTAAATGAAAAAATTAAACCCTCAAACTTTCAATAGTAAAAATTAACCCCCTAAACTTTCACATGTGATAAAATTGCACCTCTAATTCAAAAATTGTAAAATCTAAACCCTAAAATTTTGAAAAATTGTATCTATTTGACAATTTTAAAATTAAACATTTTTTCTGTTCGTGGATATTCGATTTTGCAGAGAAGCAGTAGTTCACAAATGAGAATATGCTCCATCATTCATTAACTTGTGAGGGATTTAACAAAACAGTAGACATTATTTTCCATTTCAATTTTCAACATTAGATCTTGAAAAGTATCAGATTTATTAATTATCTATGCGTACAAATCTATGCCCCAAAACTTGGTGGGGCGTTTGGTATTTCCTGTCAATTCCGCCGATAGAATTATTCATGTCTTCTTTTGTAAGCTTAAACTTAAAAACTTTGAGCAATCTCTCGGATTTCGACGTCCCTAAGAGCAATTTGAGCAACACTCTTCTCATATTTCTCGGCAAGTCTCGAGGAAAAAGACTTTATAAAAATTGTCTGCAAAATCGGATATTGAAGAGCAAAACAAACTTCATTGAATTAAAAATTTCGAATAATCATAAACTAACTCTCCGTGCACATCTCTCCACCTTTCTTTCAACATCATTCAAATAAATTAAGGTTGATTTTATTTTATTCAGTATTTAATTTTACTTAAATATTGTTTATATTTTAATACATTTTTTTGGAAATTTTTTCTTTCTTTTCTCCCTCTGTAAAATAAATATGATAAAAAAAATACCTTACTACAAATAAATTGAAATAGTTTGATTTTAAGTTTAATTAAATTATTTATATTTTCCAGGATTGAAATTACTAGTTTATATTAAAATATTATATTAGTAATAATATATACTACAAAATAATAAGCTCATAATAATAAGATGTTATACCTTCATTTCATTTCTCATGAATGTTCAAAGAAGAAATTTGTTGATTCTAAAGGTAATTAATAATTCAAAATCATTTCTATCATTTAAAATCTTAGAATTTGAAATCATTTCTTACCAATTCCAAATGTTAAATGGAATGAGTTAGACAAAAATTTAGAAGAATTTTGTTACGAAGAGAAAAAATAAAATAAAATTCAACCAATTTTTTAACATTTTTGGAGAAATTAGAAGTTTGCAAATCTTTAGTGATACAATTCATTCTTCAAATTTTTATTAGCTAATTAAATATCATATTATATAAGTTTATTATCAACTATTTTAACATTTACCTATAGTAGCCAAAGCGAACATAGCTTAGCAGCAACTGATACGTATCTATAACTAAGAAATTGTGAATTCGAATCCAAAATATTCACCGATAGTATAATGTAATTCAAAAATGTTAAACATAAGGAACTAAATTGAAAAAATTAAGGGACCAAAATGACCACTTTTAAAAAGTATAAGAACTAAAACAAATGTTTTTTAAAGTACTTGAATCAAAGTTGAAAGTACAACGTTCAAAATGAACATTTAAAAGTATAAGAACTAAATGAACAAAAATTTAGAATATAAGGACCAAAATAATATTTTAATCTATTTTTAACTAAAAATAAATATCTTACCATTTTAAAATAAGTTAAAAAATATTAATATTAATATTATGTCTAAACTAGTGGTATTTTGTTGATGTTTTTTTTATATATTGTCAATTTTCTTGCAACGTTATGAAATTTTAATTCATTCTTGTATGTGGTTAGGAATCTATATACATCTGGGAAATGTTGACATATCTAGGAAATGTTGACATATCATAGAAATTTAATATCTTGATAGGGAGATATAAATTTTTCTTTTTTTCTTTTTTTAATAATAAACAACAAAAATAACATACAAAACAAACAAACATATTACCTAAATTACACTCAGCTTTATCTCGAAGCACACTCATAGAGAATATTCTTTAGCTTAGACTTTGAGACACTCATCGACACCTCCTCTATTCAGATTCCTTAGCCCTTTTCATTTGTACCACCATTTTTACTAGCTTTTGGGCTACACGATCTCCTCCTCGTTTGCAAAGCAAGAACAAAACGTAGGAAAACGGTGAGACAATTGAAGAGTTTTCCAAATTATGAGTTGTTGAACTAACATTTCTGTGAATTCTAATCGAGTTAATTTTCACCTCTACTCGATTAAAATCAGTTTCACCTCCTACGATCAAACTTTCACGGACGACAACTTTAACCATGGACATTGTGACATTCAGAATCAACTATGCTAGAAACTTTTTTTTTTTAGCAGATGACTATGTTAGTTGAAATAGACATACAAATAGGTGCAAATTCTTTGGGGAAAAAAAAGGAACTGCCCAACCGGTTCAAACCGACCGATTGGTGTGGTTCGGTATATCGATCCCCTCTCTCGCCATTACCACCAGATTCAGATCTTCCCCTCTCGCCGTCGTCCACTCGCCGTCGCGATCAGATCTCCCTCTCGCCGCCGTGTTCAGATCCCTCACTCGCCGTCGTCCGTTCGCCGATCGTGTGAAGTAATCAAAGGGAGAGACCCAATCGCGGGAATCTCCGCAATTGCTTCTCAGCAATGGCGACCACTGCTTGTTTCATCATCGTCAGTAGGAACGATATCCCCATTTATGAAGCTGAAGTTGGATCCGCTGCTAAAGTACTCCTTTTCTTTTAACCATTGCGTTTCCTTTCTATTTTGTATTTCTCTAGATTTCGAGGTTTATATCTTCGTTTTCATGATCCACGTTTCTTTCGAATTTGTATTTCACAAGTAACATTTCAAAACATGACGATTTGTTCGGAACTGTAGTTATGCCGTTAGAAATGAGCAGAAATTCACTTTTTCCATGTTTAGATTAGATTGCATAACCATGATTTTCCTTTTGGTTCTTTAATTGCTTTAGTTTTGACTGTCATTAGTTGCTCATCTTTTTGGCTTGACATGAAAGAGAGAGGATTCTGCTCAGCTTCATCAGTTTATATTGCATGCGTCCCTTGACATTGTTCAAGACCTGGCATGGACTACTAGCGCTATGTGAGTTCTTATTCCTTTTGTTTTTTGTTCATGTTCATTTATGTAGATCAGCGAGATACCTTTGAATTTCCCACTAGATTATTTCTATTGGTGCTTCTTCTTATGCAGGTTCTTGAAAGCAGTCGATAGGTTCAATGATTTGGTGGTGTCTGTATATGTAACCGCTGGTCATATCCTTTTATGTCGAGGGGGTTTGTTGGGAACAATGTGTTGGCAATTGAGTTGAATTTCTTCAATTTACTTGCCTATAAAAAATAACTCTAGGTTGATAAAAATTTTACATTTGAATCTATACCCCCACCACCACCCGGTTGCCTTACCGAGGCCAAGGTATTTTAACTGATGATATGGTCGTAATCTTTTTATAAGATCATTGTACGGGCATATGTATTTCAGAGATTCAATTCAGTATATAGTTCTTATTTCCTTTTGTGCCAATGTTCTTGTTGGTTTTTCTTTGACTATTCACTACATACACGATTAATGTTACTTCATGACTCTCGCAATGATGATGGAATCAAGAGCTTTTTTCAAGAGGTTCATGAGCTCTATATAAAGGTAAGTGGAAACTTTACATGACTCTTAGGTATTATTATTGTTATTCCCATTATTTGAAGATGTGGTGCTTGATTTACTATGTTATATTGTTGAGGTTGATTGAAATATACTTTAGTTGATTAGTTCTTACTAGATAGCGGACATTCTTTTTTCTCAAATATACTGAATTGGACCTTCAAACAGTACAGTTGTTAAGTTAATTTATTGTATCACATGAGTTTGTTTGTATATATCCAAGAATGAGTGGTTGATTTGTTATGAGATCAGGTGATCGTGTTCAGATTGCATGAATCTTGAGGGAGGGGTTAGGGGAGGTGGGTTCATTTTCTGTGACCCCTTGTTGTTTGGTCTTGTCAGAATGCTTAGATTTAAGGCTCCTGTAGATCCCTTCTTTGTGTGATGATTGTTTTTGTGGCACAGGATTGTGACCCTCTTCGTCTAGGAAAATTAATTCCTTTTTGGAACTAAAATTTATAGAATGACTTGAAATCACGTGGTAGATTTGCACGTTAATAATTTATCTAGTGGGTTAAAGATTTTATTTCATCATCATAATTTAATAATTTAATTGCTGAAACAACTATTTGTAGAAAAATATGTTAGGGACATGCCGAGATTTAATTTACTTTAAAGTTTCCTTCAGCATAAGTAAATTCACGTTAACTTGTTTGTCATCTTCTCCTGATTTTGATGAAAATTTGGTCTATTGTAGATCTAAGTTTTTTTCAGTAGCCAATCAGAGCTTGAATGCTTAAAGCTTGCTTGAAGAGCAGAAAAGTGGGTTCAAGAGGGAAATTTAATTGTTGTTTTGAATTTATTCGTATCTGCTCATAATAGTATGTGCTTCCCAGTCCTAGCACTGCTTACTTTTCCGTTAGCAAAATTTCCTAATGAGTGTTTGCTATGCCTTTAAAGCTATTATGCAATTGAAATTTGAAACTTCCTCGATGATTCTAGATGGAGTTTCCTGTATAGCTACTCTCCTTCATTGATTATTATAATCTCTATCGGCTTTTAGTGCACCTTCTTAGATCAAAGTTAGCATAGCTATAAAATTTGTATAGCATAAGTTAGGTTTTCAAGATCTTAAATTTTCCTGTTTAGTATAACATAAGATAAAAGGTTTTGCTCTTTTGTTTGATGACCTACAGCCCACTCTTTCCATGATGTAGCATTGTTGGTGCAAAGATTTGACGAGTGTTGGAACCACTTTTATATAATTGCATATTCTTATCCATTTTATGTTGATAAGCAAGGATCCTAAGCTCTTAACTCTTAGCAATTGCCACCGTATCTAAGTTTTCATAGCAGAGATTTTTTATTTATCTCGAGAAAGATTCCTAGAAAATCCTTGGAAATCTTTTTATAACCTTGCCTCACCTTCGCTATGTTATGTGCATGTGTAGGTACGCCATATCAAATATTTGGAAACTGTATCATAGTCAACCTATTTGAGAGAAATTGCACGACTGAAGTTTATAAACATTGGATAATTATTCAAGTTATGATGACGATGTATATAGACTTTCTTTATTTCCTTGGATGTGATTTTTCAGCTTTATATCAAATTTACTTCATCTATCGGAAAAATTCTAAGTTAAATAATTCAAGACCGGTTGTTGTAAGAGTTTGTCGGGTGACCATTTGTTCCCCATGTTTTCGTTGAATGGCTGTGGCATAAACCTTCTTGATTTCCCTGTTTTTTTCCTTTTTTCTCCGCTGATGCCAAGGGTTTTCATTTGGTATCAATTGTTGACTTGATTATGCTCATGCTGAAAATTGGCTTTGTGAATTTGCAGACTATACTAAATCCCCTCTACTTGCCTGGATCCCGCATCACATCTTCACATTTCGACACAAAAGTCCGTGCGCTCGCAAGGAAGTATCTCTAGTGCTCACCGTGATTGCAGACCAGACGGGCTTGTGACGATGGGCTTCAAAGTTTCTAGCAGCCTCAAGTTTCCTTCAATTCCCTATCATTTTGATCTTTGATATATAGTCCCGACATTATTCGACTCGGCTCAGTAGTTAAAGTATTATTGCTCATTGTGTATTATTGTCTTCAATATAACTTGATTACGAGTATGAAATTGCACTTTACAGCATTGATGTAATAATGTCCTCCCCTCTCCCTTCCACTCATCTCTTTATAGTTGAGAGTATTGTGTTTCATATTCCACAAGGCATGGATATTAAAATCATGCCACAAATATGCTCAGGAGACAGCCCTTTTCTTTTAATTTCTGTTACTTGCAAAGAATGTTTTGTATGGCGCAAGGAATATAAAGTTCTCTTCAGCAAAACTGCCATATTTCATCCAAGGCAGAGGAGGAAAAGAATAAGAAAACCCCTCATGTGAAGTCTCCTCCTAACTGGAGGAAAAGAATAACAAACCCACCAAAACTTAGCTAGAGAAATATGTGATTCCTAGTTAGGAAGGCTATAGAAGAACCAAAATTGTGGTAAAAGGCTCTGTAGTAAACCCTTGGAAAAGAAAATTCATAGTTCCCAAGCAAAACAGGCCCTCTTAAACACCAACTCCAATAGAGCAACCGGTTCCATTATTCAATTACAGCCATTTTGGCCGTACACTTTGATCTTTTGTTTTTTAGTTCCATTCCCGAGATACCCAGAAGACAGAAACGGTGAAAGAAACTGATTCTTTATAAGGTTCAGTTGTCCAATCATGGGGACAGGGCTGTTGAAGATATTGGTGCTGATGGTGGCCTCCATGAACTGTTTGGCTCCATCTTCAGCTTCTTCGTTCTTTAAGGATAAGCCATGGGAGAGAAGGAAGCCAATTCTGTCGGTTTCGGCCACATCCTCTTCATTTGCTTCCTCTTCCATTGTGTTGCCTCTTCAAGGAAACGTCTATCCAAATGGGTAAGCTATATTTCTGCTCAGTTTCAGGTTTTATTATTTCCCATTTTGATTTCTTTTACTGTAGTGCTACAGAATATGGAAATGGCTGAAGAGAAAGTTCAATCTGAATGCTGTGGCTTAAAATATGCTACAGATTACAAGATCACGTTATCCTCTGTTTTCCCATTTTCTTTCTGACCTACGTTTCTTCTTATCCTGTTCCAGTAAAATTGCTTTGGAGTGTATTTGTGAGTGCTTTTCAGAGTAGGGTTTTCTCTGTTCTTGTTTGAGGGTCACTTTCTTTACTGTCAGATCCTATAATTGTTTTCATCAATATATTTTTGAGGTCGTATAATCTGTCTTTTTCAGGTTCTATAATGTTACTCTCTATGTAGGGCAGCCTCCAAAGCCTTACTTTCTAGATCCAGACACCGGTAGTGATCTCACTTGGCTTCAATGTGATGCTCCATGTCAGCAGTGCACTGAGGTAATTTTTTGTTTGATTCAGCAGTTAATGGTTCATAGGAAGGAGATTCTTGAAAAATATGATGACCAAAATGAAAGAAGAAAGTTACTTTAACTACACCTTTGGCTTTACTTGAGTTATTTTCACAATAAGGAATCCAAATTTTCCATGTTTGATTGTTGTCTAAGTTTCCTCTATATTCCTTCTTGATGTGCTTATTGCTTCAGTTTTCGCTCTCTTAAAAATCCTTTTCATTTCTTTGGAGTTGAAGAGTTAAGAATGCATCAATTTGTTGGCATCGTTTACCCTTTCAGACACCTCATCCACTGTACCGACCGAGTGACGATCTTGTGCCGTGTAAAGACCCGCTGTGTATGTCCTTGCACTCATCTGTTGATCATAGATGTGAGAACCCAGATCAATGCGACTATGAGGTTGAGTATGCAGATGGCGGTTCGTCTCTCGGAGTCCTTGTCAGGGATATATTTCCTCTCAACTTAACCAATGGAGATCCAATTAGGCCCCGTTTGGCCCTCGGGTAAAAACCACTCGACTGGCTTCCATAATTCATCTTAATCTCCTAGCAATTTAAATCGAACTTACTAATTCCAATTACAACAATATACTTTAGAGCTTTTGCTAAAACAAACATCATGTCGTGCTGTCATATCTTACTTTTTTGCTCTCTCCAGATATTACACAAGATAATTTTAGCATCAAGAAGCCACGTAATTAAGAAAAGATATAGCAGCAGAATCTAGATTTTGTAATTAACATAATGATTCTGATTTGTATTTTTCAAAGTCATCAATAAAAAAGTATACTAATGACTATATTGTTCAAGAGATTGTTATTCACTTTGCTAACAAATTTCATCCATATGGTTAAATAAAATCATAAGGAGCAAGTAATGTAGGTCAGCTGTTTGAATCTGTGGTGCTGAGTTTTGTTTCATTTGATTACTCAGATGTGGTTATGATCAAATTCCTGGATCATCTTATTATCACCCCATGGATGGAATACTCGGCCTTGGAAAGGGAGCAGTAAGCATCGTCTCGCAGCTGCATAATCAGGGTATCATCCGGAATGTCATCGGTCACTGTTTCAGTAGCAGAGGAGGAGGATACCTTTTCTTTGGGGATGACATTTACGATTCTCATCGTGTAGTTTGGACGCCAATGTCACGCGATTACCCGTAAATAACCCGCCTTGATCCTATATACATCTTAGTTATGATTCATGTTTGGCTCCTGTTTTTACAAAATTTTCTTCATGTGGTTGTATCAGGAAGCACTACTCCCCTGGGCTTGGAGAACTAATCTTCAATGGAAGAAGCACTGGACTGAGAAATTTGTTTGCAGTCTTTGACAGTGGCAGCTCTTACACCTACTTCAACGCTCAGGCTTATCAAGTTTTAACATCATTGGTAAGACTCATCTGTAAAGTAAAAGCCACTGATTCTTCCATGAATCTTTATTAATTGTTGCCATTGGCACTCTTCTTGTAGTTGAATAGAGAACTGGCAGGAAAACCGCTAAGAGAAGCCATGGACGACGACACGCTTCCACTTTGCTGGAGAGGTCGGAAGCCATTCAAAAGCTTACGCGATGTGAGAAAGTATTTCAAGCCATTGGCATTGAGCTTCTCCAGTGGCGGAAGAAGCAAAGCAGTGTTTGAAATACCAATGGAAGGCTATCTGATATTATCGGTAAGACTCCCTCCAAGCCTCCAACTAAGATTCATTACCATTTTCAACTGTGGAGCATTTGGTTCGATTTAAATTTCATTTAAGATTATTCTATTTTGGCCATTGAATTTTCATATTTGTTCTATTTTGACCCTGACCTTTCAAAAGATTTATTTTAGTTCTTAAACTTTAAAAAGGTAACTATTTTGGTCCAAACCTTTATTTTGTTTTACAAATTAACAACACAACTTAATGCATTTAAATCCACGTCGGTTGGAAGTGTGTATTGGGTAAGCAAGTATAACAAGGACCAAAATATCCTTCTTTTTTTTTTTTGTAAATCCAAAGATTAAAATTGACCTTTCGAAAGTTTATGTTCCAAAATGAAACAAACTTGAAAGTTGAAGATAAAAATAGGATCTAAAAGATTATATAAAAAAAGTTACTTCTGAAGTTTTCCCTACAAAATTCTGCCTCTCCTGTAAAAAATTTCTAGCTGGAATATTTGTTTTTGAGATTTTTAAGTTGAATCAAATTGCAGTCCATGGGAAATGTTTGCTTGGGAATTCTAAACGGCACTGAAGTTGGGCTCCAAAACTCCAATATCATTGGTGGTACGTACTTTATATTTGCATGTTTTTTTTTCTTGAACAATAACGCTATATTTGGATTTTGGATGTTATTTGAAATACGAATTTCTTTTTTCTGAATACAACAAAGGAGTAGATATTCGAACTCACGACTTCTTAATTGGAGATCGGTGCTTAAACTTGGAGATATGTGCTTAAACTAGTCGAGCCGTTCATTCTCACGAAATATGAATTATTCCTTGCCTCATTTTATGCCATCTTTTTTTTGACAGATATATCAATGCATGATAAGATTGTAATATATAACAACGAGAAGCAAGCCATTGGATGGGCTACCGCTAACTGCGATCGAGTTCCCAAGTCCAGAGCTGCTGCCACCATGTGAGAATATATGACAGAAACTCGTAACAACGACGTCGAAAAACCGATTTATCTCCCACTAATGTATGTATAAACATAGTAACCAAACAAGTTGGGAAATAGGATTAGAATTTTTACATTGTTTATTGAACTCTGCATTGAAATAACGAAGATCATCAGTTTCATTTGGAGAGTCCAAAGTTCATGAACAGAGAGTAAGTACTCCGGGAGTATAAATTTCCCGGAAAAGGAGTGTCGTGTCGTGGCCGAGTAGGATGAAGAAGACCACCAAGTTTAGAAACAGAGGTCAATTCTTCTAACTACATTCTTCCATTCCAAGAAAATAAACAAATAAAAGGAAAGATAACAATGTTTTTGGCATATTGGTCTGTTTTCCAAAGAATTTGCTACCCTTAATCCTTATATGTAAAAATATGAATACAGCCTTCTTCTATTATGGTAGAGGAAGCCTTGGATACGCCATGGCCAATGCCCTTATACCTTCGCCTTTACAATGCTGTTGTTGATGGTGCTCGACTAAAGCTTCGTTCGGAATGACTTTTAGAAGAGTGAAAAATGCTTTTCGACGGGTCAATAAACACTTCCTCAAATCCTTATCCTTCGATTTAGATAATCAAAGGATGCTTTGAAATTTCTATTGACATAGCACTTGGTCTGTGCTTGAAAAGCATTTTGTTGTTCAAAAGTCATCCCAAACTCACTCTAAATTGGAGTCTGCAAATAAGCGAACATGTCGGGCAATGGTGAGAGTGGATCCATTTGGAACTGAACCTGATTCCCAAATGGGTCATCATCTGTCATGGAGAATGAATCCATATAATTGAACTGAAAAAAGTCCAAATCTGGCACTCCTTCTCCAAATCCCCATTTGGGTTGGCTCTGGACCTCCTTCTCCCAGGTGACCTCCGTCGAGGTGGCCAGCTCCGACCCTGATCCCGACCCGCTCGAGTCGGTGTGCATTCTCGGGACCGAATCCGACGTGTCCATCTGCAAATGGTTGTGGATGGGGAACTGTACCATGTTCTTGTTATTAGGCATCAAAATATTGGGCTTCTCCTCCTCAAAATCAGGGAATTCTGCATCCTTCTCGTCGTTGGCTTCGAAATGCTTCTCTATACATCCCTTCTTGTTGTAAATTCGACACAAAACCCAATCATCCAGCTGCAGAAAGCCCCAAATCGAGATCAGCAACCGATTTCCAAATCATAATTTAGGGTTAGGGATTTGAATTTCAATTACTTACTCTCAAATTGTTGTTCTTCTTGGCGGCGGATCTATCCACATTCGCGAGGCGATACTCGTGCATAATCCAATTGGTCTTGACACCACGAGGAGCCTTCCCGGCGTAGAACACGAGCGCCTTCTTGATTCCCAGAGCCTTAGGGCGGCCGATCGGCTTGTCGGCGCCGGTGGCTTTCCAGTAGCCGGTTCCGGCAGCCCGGTTCGGACGGGATCCGTTAGGGTACTTCCGATCCCTAGGAGAGAAGAAATACCACTCTTTCTCACCACAAACAGCCAATTCTGCGAATCGAATCGAATTGAATCACCGTCAGATTCAGATACACAAAAACGAAAAGAACAACACAAAACTCAGATTTCAAGAAAACCGAACCCGTACCAGGGAGCTGCCAGGGGTTGTACTTGTAGAGATCGATTTCCTTGATGATCGGAACGGCGATGGGCTGAGAAGAGCACTTCCGGCAGAGGTAGTGAAGAACTAGCTCCTCATCGGTGGGGTGAAATCTGAAGCCTGGAGGGAGCTCAAGTCCAGCTACGGTCATTTGCTAGCGGTTTCTGCTGAGTGCGGCGGTTGCTGTGAGTTGCTGCGGCGGCAGATACGGCGGCGGTTGGTCGGAGAGGGAATCGGTGAGCAGAGATGAAGAAGCGGAGCATATATATAAGAAGGAGAACACGTGGGGCTTATGGGGGAGGTGGTATTCACGCTTCTTCATGTTCTAGAAGACTATTAAACTAATAAATAATAAATAATAAAAATAAAAATCGAACGCCGTGGGACCCACGCGCAGCCCGACAAATTCCAAATATTCCATGATAATTAGAATTTAGTAGTGGTAGTTTTGTAAGTAAAAATAGGTGAAAATGAAAATATGTGTTGATTTTATTTTTAGTTTTATGTTTTTAGGAGTTTTGATTAGCTTCCATATAGGTGTTTTGGTATATTTTTTTAATTGTTTAATAAAAATTATTTGAATTCTTAGTTAAATTTTAGAACATACACAAAAAATTTTAATATGTCTTTTTGTAAAAAAAATATAAATCAATGAAGAAAAAACATAAAGGTGAAAAAAATAGTGTTTATAAAACAAATAAAAATAGTTATCTAATAGACCTTAACAATCTAGTTTCTAAGTAATTTTTAATTATTCAGTCTGTGATCTGAAACTTGTAATTATTTTAAATTTTTTATGATTTAATCTCTACCATAAAATTTTAAAAAATATATATCTAATGTAAGTTTTTTCTTTCCTATACAAAATTAAGAAATTGTTTAATAATTTAATGAATTTTGTAACTACAAAAAACAAGGTTATTATACATTTTAAATTACACAAACTAAATCATTACAGACTAAAATTGTTAAAAGAAAAAAATTATGTATAGGTCAATATAAAGGAAATAATTTGTCTTTTTGTTTTTTTTTTCCTAATATTACAAGTAGAAATAAAAAAAAATGTGCGTGTTTGTAATTTTAACCTAGAAGTAAAAAGAAGATGTGGATGAGATGGTGGCGAATGGAAGGGCGACACGTGGAGTTGTGTTGTGTCATGGCTTACGTCAGCATAGGAATTGAATGTCGGCTAAGGAAGGGAGCGGGGCGGTCACCGGTCAGACAAAGCGGTCAGCGGGTGGGCCCCACAGGTCCGATCCTATCCAAAAAATCCATGTCCTGTCTCCTTCCCTTTCCCAGAACAGAATCAATAGAGTAGTCTTGGTTTGAATTTTTCTTTTCTTCTTTTTTTTTTTTGTATTTTTTTGCAATTCGGTCTCTGATTCTGACCCCTGACCCTGACCGTTTGAATTTCTGCACGTGAGGTTAGAGATACTAAGTGAGCAGTTAAGTCAGATCGGATTTGAACCRCTCGATCCAACTCGACTGAATCGATCCACACGAGCCAATTGAAGCCTGAACGCGTGAGGTATGTATATCTCACAATTCTAATTTTGTTATTCTCAATGGAACTATTTGTCTGTCTTAATGTGTGTTTGAGAGTGATGATAGAATGAGTGATTTTGAGAAAAGAGATTTATTACGTAGGATTGATTAAAATTACCGCCCAAATGATGTCTTAAAAATCAATTTAAGGTGATTTTAAACTTTTCTAAAATCAGTTTTTTTTATTTATCAAACATAATCGATAGAAATAATAGTAAATTTTGGCATCTCAAACACAACCTTAGACATCATAGTATGTCGGGTTTAGTATCACATCAATGTATGTCAGAGTATTCTAGTTTGATCTATATACATCTAGATTTTACATTTAAATGTCTATTCTTGTTCTTGTACTTTGAAAAGCCATCATTTTAGGATTTAACCAAATGGAAATACTAACCCTTTTAATAAAACTATGACAATATTTTTATTTTGTAACAAAGAGAAATGAGATTAATAATAATAATAATAAGTAATTGTTATGAAAATAGGGAGACAAAAACAAAATTTAAATATTTTTTAATATGTTTTTAAACAAATAAAAATACCTATTTGACTCATTGCTATTCTTCCCCTTTTGTATAATTGAGACATGGAACCATTTGTCATTTGTAATATAATTTAATTGACATTATTGCCCACTTAATTCAATATTATATCTACCTACCAACTCTCACATTGACACATTATTTTTAATCCTCCAATGCAATCTTCTTTTTTTTTTTTTTTTGCATCTATAAAGAAATGGAATTTTGTGTGAGATTAATTATTGATCATGTCACCGATGACATGGCATTGAATAGAATGGAATAAAATAAAATTATAAATAAATAGAGTAGAATAAAATTATAAATAATAATTATAAAAATGAAAAAAGTGCTTGGATCCCAAGTAAAGTAAAGGGATCCACTCAGTCACAAGGATGCTTCCACGCACTTTCATTTCTTAGTAACTTTCTGTTGTGGGGCCCACACTTTTTCTTTTTCTTTTTCCTTTTCTTTTTTCCTAACAAAAAAATATTTATATATATATTACATTTCTTCAATCTTCAACTTTTCTCTCTTCCATACATTCAATGCCTTTGAAAATGACGCAAACATGAGACCACTTTTTCTTAGATTTGATCCTTTTTTTCTCTTTAAGATTTTATAAAAAGGTCTTTTTTTTCCGTCGATAAATTACTTCGAGAAAATTTTGATACCATGGGAGTACCATAGTTCTTTCTATTTACTGCTTATCATGTTAATATTATATTAAAAATGATGTAGGATTCATTTATATCGTTTATTGCATAAACAAAAGGAATATGGTACTCTCGTAGTATTTGACTTTTTTTTTAATTTAGTCGTTTGATAATCATTTTATTTGTTGTTCTTTTTTAAAGTTAAGTTTGTAAGTACATTGTATTTTTTTTTTATTTTGCTATCCATTTTATAAAAAAAAAATTCAAAATTTAAGCCAAATTTTAAAAACTAGAAAAATAGTTTTCAAAAACTTGTTTGTGTTCTTTAAATTTGGTTAAGAACTCTGTTTTTAAGAAAGATGACAATATACCTAAGAAAAGCATCCTTTGTAAAAATAAAATAGAAAACTAAAAACGAAATGATTATCAAACCGTGCTTGAACTTTTAGAGTTGAGCTATGTTTATAAGTTTCAGGACTTTAAAGAGTGGCTAACAGGGTTATAAACTTACCGAGTCTTACTCGTGGGAGGGACTAATATGTCTTTCTCAATTCTAGAAAAAGTCTAGTATGTTTATCAACTAAGTTGTGAGAATTTGAAGTTTCAAAGTTAGAAATATGTCTAACAATTATTTTATTTTTTATTTTCTATTTTAAAAAATTAAGTTCATAAACCCTACTTTTACCATTCATGTACTTCTTTTTGTTTGCTCTTTACTTTTCAAGAACGTTTTCAAAATCGTAACCAATTATTAAAAATTAGAAAATGGAGTTTTTAAAAAACTTATTTTTGCCTTTTAAATTGAGTTAAAGAATACAACGATGAAAACATACCCACAAAAAAAGAAATGTGAGTAAATAAATATAATTGACAATGTAATATCTCTTTTACCTTATAAAAACATTTACATATATCTTTTGCTTTAAAGATCCATTAAATATGGAAGAAATTAAAGGAATCTTTTGATAATTAAATTCGATCAATTTAATGAAGACTTAATCAAATCATTCAGAAAAATCATATGCAGCCACAGCCACCTAAGATGGAAATATCTAATTAAGGGGACAATTTTGCCGACCACTCTATTTGGGAAAAGAATAGTTAATTAAATTAATAAAAAGTCAAAGGGCAAAGATTTTTTGCCACGTGGAGAGGGGTAGATTTGGGAGATTTTGGTGATTAGGATGTAAAAAGTTGAATGAAAATGAAAAAGTGGTTTCTATCCATGTGGGTTGGCTCTGTTTTGGATAACCCAAAAAATAAAATTAAAAATTAAAAATTATATTACACTTACACCCTCCAAATTCTCTCTCTAATTTATTGCCATCTCATCTTCTTAAACATTTTAATTCAAAATTTGGCTTAAATGTTTCAATTGGGAGATATTTGGATACATGGGTAAGTCACATTAGAAGAATGAAATGGATTTTATTGGAAAGTCCAATTTTTCTCGTCAATTTAAACATAGTTTTGTAGATAAGACACCTATTACTAAGTTGATGGTATGATTTTCTATCCGGGCAATTGTTGAACTAAAAAAAGAGTAAAACATTTATCGGGGGCACACAATAGGTTTCATGTGAGTGATATATCCATGTGTTCAATATATATATTTTTAGTAAACAAATATAAGGGTATAAAAATTTAAACCGCTTATCTCAAAGGAAARAATAGATGYTTTAACCACTGAGTTAGGCTCATGTTGTAACGTGGACTACATTAATAAAATAACAATTTAACGATATACTAACTATTCCTGAAGGTTTAMCCATGCTGCCATTGTTGAACTTAGAAAAAGAAAATATTGATGCCGATTTATTGGCAAAGTGTAGCGTTAGTGTAACGAATACCTTCGTCTCCAAAGTCTATATTCCATGCACATAGAAATCTAACACTGGTGTGGTGCACTGTCGAATACACTCTGATTCTTAACTTAGAACTAAAGTTGGGAGCAAACAKGTATGAAGTAAATAGAGTACGTAGGAGAATRGTATTCTCGAGGTTGATAATCTACAACTTGAGGTTGGATTTGAATGTGAAGGACGAAGGTAGGGAGGCACCATGTCGCACCCACGGCCGACGAGACCATCAACAGCCTCTTCCCACTCTGTTTCGAGGATGAGGGGTGTGGCAACACTCTAGGGGATCCTTTGAGGTCCACTGTGATTGCGATTTTGGCATCCTGTTCGCTATACAATCTATCCAAAGTGTACTAGAGATGTGATCTGACGTACCCAATTTTTAGTAGTTATTTTCTAACCCAGCTCGCATAATTCCTCGATTTTGCCCTCTAATAAAAAGAAACATAAATTTACCTTTTGTGAACGACGGAGGGGAAAACTCTCCATCATACTAAATATAAAAGAGAAAAAAATGAAGAAATTGAGAAGATAAAGAAGAAAGAAAAGGAGGAAGAGTGGAAAAATGATTTATTGGGGGCGTTTGAGATCAATTAGGTCAGGAAGGTGACGCAATTATTCGTGGCTTCAATACGCCGCCGTTTGGAGAAAATGGAAAGTGGTTCATGTTCATGCATGTAATAGGTAAGGAGTCACTTTCAAAGTCCAAGTAAAATGAACATGAAGTTTTGCTGCCTTCCTCGAACCTTCTTGCTTCAGCCCTCAATCTTGACTCATTCAATATTACCTGATACTTGTGTTGTGGGTCAATTCATATTCTAGCTGGTTCCAATTTCCAAACCATCTCACCTATTTCCACTCTTAAAGCTAGCCCAAAACCCACCCCGAGCATAGTTAAGTGTCGATAAGATGCTATTAATGGACGTTGAGATCGACCAATAATAAACTTACATGACATGATAGATGATCAACTGTCGATTGGCATCGATTTAACATATTTACATTTTTATTTTATTTAGAGAGGGTAGAAAGAATCGAGAGAGGGAGTGAAACTTTTTCATTCTTAGAATATAATAAAATGATGAGACTCGTCTCAAATTTGGTAATCTCATCCCCTAAAAAGAGATAATCTAATTTCTCTCCTACACCCTCATCAATCTCATTCCTTATCACACATTTGACTCGTACCTTTTTTATTTAATTGTTTTATACTTTCATTATTTCTTTTTTTATTTATATCATTCATAATTTTTCTTCTAATAAAAATTTATACCACCTTTATTAGTTTATGTGATTTTATATTTAAATTTTTTAATTTTACTTTGTTATTATAAATTAATATCAATAAATTTTTTTAAATATAATTCATTATTATTAAATATTATAATAATAAAATTTAATAATATTTTATATTAAATGATGGTTGTTTTAATAGAAAAAAAAGTATTTTAGTTAATGAAATTTTATTAAATTTATTCGTTATTTATTAATATTAAATAAATTTTATAATAAAAAAATATTTACCATCAATAATACAATAATAAAATAAATTAAAATTTATTACTATTTTAATTAAAAAAATTAGCACGGTAATTGTAATTATATTTGTAATTAGCTAGAAAATAATATACTAGTAATTGTCATATATCTTATTCTGATTTCGTTTTCAATTCCGTTTTCAGATAGCTTTTAGTAAAACATCATAAGAATTCTAATTCTGATTCTAGAAAAGTTCTAATAAGCTATATCAAAAAATTAATATTCTTATTCCGATTGATTTTCATTTCAATTCATTCGCATTCTGATTCCTACGAAGTAAACAGAGCCTAAGTTATTATCACGAATAACGGGAAGAGGCATAATGAAAAGTATTACAAGGGCCTAAAACTTTTTAAAGAATCCAACATTAGGCACTAAAACTAGGAAAAATTAGCCAAATTCAAATATCCTTTTTCCTAAATCCACCTCGCATCATCAATAACAATAACTAGATTCCCACCACTGCCCCTTATAGATGATAGATTAAAGTGAATACCTGAGTCTGAGTGGGTGCCAAATCCGCCAGAGCCTCCTTTTTTAGAATCCTTTTTTGTTTCTTTGTCTTGCATCAGCAACCACAAGAATATGCCTACTCCCATTACCTAATATGCCACTCAAAGATTCCCAACAAAGAACAAAAATTCAGTAAGGTTTGGTGCCTGCTGTTTCTTGTACCTTCTGTTTTCTTCATATCCCTGTCCCTGCAGAATCAAAATTTCCTACCATGGCGCCACATGTTTCATTTGTCTACCTTTTCATGGAAACTAGTTAATAATCCCACAACTCAGATCATAAGGGAGAAACTCAGCTCACAGAGACAACGATAAACAGTAATAGAACAGTAAGAAACGAAGTATTTTCAGCAGGGATTTCTGTAACGTCTCTGCTTTCTCAAATGTCATTAGATTTTAAGTCTTTAGAATAACAATTTCAATCCTTTTCTCACCAAATATGTGTTTTTCCTTTTCTACCATAAAGAAAACTATGAATCCTTACAAAATTTTTACCGTCCAATCATCTGTAATCGACAAGTTGGGTTTCCGAATTGTAAGAACCGATATGCGTCGTCCTGTTTGGAAGTGGAGTGGACCAAGTTCGATATCGACCTTTCTGTTGTCTGGCTCAACCAGAGCAGATTTTGGTCCGGAGTATCCTAGCAGTATAATCCTCTCGATAACACAGTTGGAAGAAAACTTGGCGCTACTAGAACCAATAGGAGCCATGTTCAGTGATGTAAGCTTGCCCCCTGAGAACACAAATCGGCGATGGATGTACGCCCCTTGCTTGAATTCAAAGCTTTTACCGTCATCAACGTAAAGCTCACCTTCAGCTGCTTGTGAATTATTAAGAGCAACCACCTATAACATACACAAAAATTATATAAGCCACCCAACTTGATATCTAGTCCACATTCAAACAGTGAAAAGGGAAAACGGATGTATATATGCAATATATACTTCTTCCACTCAAACCACTGACTAGTTCAACATATTTGCATACAACACAATGGAAATCTGAATTTTAGGGAAATTTCAAGTAGCTGACGTGTGGAGGAGTGCCTCTATATAGTTATCAAGTACATACCAGAGTGTAAGGGTCGTTAACCATCTGTGTAGAGCTCCTCCGAAAGCGATCTTTCCTGGGCAATATGGTTCCAGCTTTTTGGAAAGCAGGGATGCTTTCTTCAGAAACCTCTAACTGGTGGGTGACACCACCCCTATATGGAGTTCCAGTTCTCAAATCGTACCAAGATTGTTCCCCAGGCAAATAGACTGACACTTCTTTAGCTTCCTACAAGTACAATCAACTACATCATTACATTGAGTACCAGAATAAGGGACCAACAATCAACGAAAATAACAAGTAAATAAAGAAAAAACTAGATGAAGCTAAATAAAAACGGTGTATTATAGTTATAAAATGCTTAAGAAAAACTAAAAGCTGACTCTGATAACAATTTTCCTTTTAGTTCTCTGTTTTTGAAAATTTAGTCTCTAAACACTATTTCCACCTATATCTTTCTAAATACCTACACATTAATAACACAACCAAGGAAATGTGAGAAAACAAGCATAATTTTTAAAAACAAAATAACCAAACGGGCCTAAATAAATTAATTTCACAAAGTGACATCTTAACTTTTAAAGTTTAAGAAATGATTTAGATTAATCCCTAGAATCAATGTTCTACTAGCGCCCTGATAAGTTACAATTTCTTTCAGATTGACCCAGGCAATATGCATCTTTGATTTTGTCGTCATGGCTCTTCCAGTCTTCCTCCTTCAAAATTTTTCCAGGTTTCTTCAAGATTTTCTATTGGCTTTCAAGTAAATTTCTAATATTCCATCAAGTTGTTTGGATGATTACAATTACATCACCTCTCTCAAGAGGAAGTTGGAAATGCTTCTATTGAAACGTTTCAAATTAATCTCTCTTGCCAAGAAATGGCTTCTATTGTTCAAGGACTACATAAGGAGCTTGAGGATGTTCTCAAGGATTTTGTTTCATCAGATTCCTCTCCGTCTAATTAGCAAGTGAAGTTTTCTTGGTTTACCACAGTTTTCTTGATGTGCCATATTTTGGTGCAGCAGCTATTGGGTCTTTTGTTGGTTTCTGGATTTCTTAATGTTCGTTCTTATTTGGTCAGAATGTATTGCTCTGTATTGCTCCTAATCCCTATCACCTAAATTATTTCAGAGTAATTATATCTCATATTTTGAGTGCTACTGCTATCCTCTCTCTACTCTCTCCGTCCTGAAATTTCAAGGCTCCAGCATCTCCATGGTCCTTCCAGCAATTGCACGGCTCCAAAATCTGTCACACACACATCTGTTTGTATAGAGACCATCCACTTGCTTCTAAGATGGGATTTTGATTCAAAGCATTACCAAAAAGTAAGTAATGTGGCAGAAAGAATCGAGTCTGGTGGGTTTTCAATGTTTCTTTTCCTCTCTAAGTTTTCAAAGCTGTCCCTTGTTTGCGAATATCAGCCATAACCAAAGTAAGCAAAGGGAAAGAAACATGCAATACAGAGTGAGTAAGGGATTTCTTTTTCCGATAACAAGAACAGAAATGATGTTGATTGAGATATAGAAAGGGATTTCTTAGCCAAGGGCTTTTGTAATTTCATACATCAATCAAATTGTTTCTTCCAAAAAAAATAAAAAATAAATAAATAGCAATATATATATAAAATAAAAATTGCACACCACGTAAAATAAACCACATTATCTCTACTCTACCACTTGAGAACTTAACTAGCTCAGTTACTAAGTCATCCATACAGCATTATAGGGACCAATTTAAACCATTTTCTAACTTTAGCGGTTAAAATGTCGCTGAAGTATTTGTTTCTTATCAAAAAAAAAAAATGTCACTGAAGTATAACTCATCTCAATTTTAAAAATCGAAAAGTGTGACTTTTTCCGCCATTAAAATGTTGTTAAAAAATTACCTTGGTATATATTCCTTGCACCAAAAGAGCGCTCCCTACCATAAAAGCTTCATCATTTTTAAATGTAGCTTCATCAGATGGAAATTCCATCCACAATGGACGCACAACAGGAATCCCACTTGTATTTGCTTCTCGGAATAGAGTATAGAAATAGGGTAGCAACATGTACCGAATGCGTATAGCATCTCTCATCAATTCCGTATTCCGTTCCCTGTAATAAAGCAAGACAAATAACAAAAGAAGTCAATGATAGAACTATCATCTGCATCAATACTTCGTTTTCCCTTCTTTATATATAGTATATGCATATACATATATATACACACACACACACACACACACACACACACACATATATATATATATATTTTTCCTTCTCATTTATAAGAAACGAAATTGTGTATTACTGAAAAAGGGATGTACAAAAGGACATGAGATATCCCAAATGCCAAAAGAATTTTCAATGGGCATGAATTTGTGAAAAGTCATCACTACAAAATTCAATATGACAGGAGCACCACTTTGAGGCATGAAAAGAAACAAGGTCTTATAGATCATCACTAGCCATTTCTTTTTATACATCTTATAAATAAGAGAGGGGCAGCCCAGTTGACAGAGGCTTGGGGTCTCTGGTCATACTAGCTTAGAAGTCTAAGTTTGAATCTTCTGGTGAGTTTAATACCAACAACCCTTGACGTCTCCAGCATCCGAGCTTTGGGGTGGGCGTGAATGCCCTGTGTATAGGGGAGTAAAGCTCCAACTCCCAGTTATCAAAAAAGAAAAAAAAAGAAAAAGAAAAGAAAGGGCCAATTACAGAATTACGAAACTGATGATAGAGTAGAGCATATTTAGTCGTTTCCATAATTGAAATCTCATAAGTTCAATGAAATGAGCCAGCAGTCAATTTTACATCATAAACTTCTTGCTCTTCACACAAGTCCATCCAACACTGAGTTTAGTATTGATAATGTCTCAACAATATATTGATATGCTCAAGTAAAAACAAAAAAGGGTGCTTAGAGTGCAGGTTCGGCATCTTAAGCCTGAGATTTTTGTAGAGGGTTTAAAAAGTTTGAATTTAGGAAAACTGGAGGGGGTTTGGAAAGTGGACTATTGTTTAAGCCCGCTGATTTCTCCAATTAAACCCAAATTTGACAACTCTTCCCAAACGTGAGTTAGGCTTGGGAAGTCAAACCTACCTTAAGCCCAACCCATGCCCCAGACACCCCCTTAAGGAATCATCTGTACTAGTTAAATCATAACAGTGATCATGAAACAAAAAAGTGGCGCTCCAACAAAAGTTGCAAAATCAAGTAGGCTAGTTCAAATTTGAAAAGCAATCAGCTTAATGTTTTTTGCTACAAACTGGTATCTCCCCCCGTCTCCTTTTTCTTTTTTTTTTTTTATCCAAAAAAAAATGTTCAAGATTTTGAAAACTTGCATTTAAACATGCTTTGTGATTGGTTGATGACGTCAGTTAAGAATCTAATCAATGGTCCCTTAATTATGTGGTCAATAAGATCAGACTCGAAAAATAGAAGTAGATGATATCCTTACCCGAATAGCCAAGGTTCTCTTCTTTTTGTGTCATGGTGAGCATGGCCTCTAAAGAAGGGATAAAAGGCACCTAGCTGATACCATCGCACTAACAGCTCAATTTCAGGATTTCCAAAAAAACCACCAACATCAGCACCTGTCAAAACAACTTAGCCATGACTATGACTACCAAACAATCTGACTGATAGTTCCAACATCAACATAGAGAATCATTAATACCTGAGAATGACAATCCAGTAAGACCAAGAGTCACAATCATTGGAACAGAAACCCTGAGCTGATCCCAATCAGCTGTGTTATCTCCGGTCCATACTGCACCATATCTTTGGGTTCCTGCAAAAAGCGCTCGTGAGAGAACAAAAGGCCTATCCTTTCCATCACCCCGCTTAACTAGTCCCTCCGCAGTGGCCATGTGAAAGTAGTATCCGTAGACATTGTGTAACTCCCGATGTTCAACACCTCCTTGATGTAGAGCATCTCGAGGCATTGTAACCTAGATAGAGACATCAATTAACAAATTTAATAATATTACAGCAAAGATCACAACACAACTTGTTCCAATTTTTTTTAATACAAAAAATTATATTGATTAAAAAACCTTAAATATATAAGAAGATAAATTATCTTAAAATCTAAGGAACAAATTACAAGAAAAATGTCCTTCAAAGTTCCTGAAGCTTCTATCTACGGTTCATTGCTATTGGGAGGCTCTATTAGAAAGTAGTTGTTTTGGTCTTTATGTCATTTTTCTTCGCTGGCTCTTTTGTGTTGTATCACTTTGTTTACAATATTGTATTCTCTTGTCTTTTTTCTTGTTCTTTCGCTCTTTGGAAGTTTGTATCCTTTGAACATTTTGTTCCTTTTCATTAATCATTTAGAAGCTTGTATCTTGTTAAAAAAAAATAATAAAAATAAAAAAACTAAGAAACAAATCTGGTGGGACATTCTGAACATCTTCTTCATGGGATCAGAGCTGACTTTGAATGTGTCTAAAACTCCCCTTATTGGCATCAATCACAGTGATGAGGTTTCTTCATGGGTGTTTTTGTGTCATTGTAAATCAGAAGTCCTACCAGTGAATTACTTGGGCTCCCCCCTCGGGGGTAATAAAAAGGCTGCATATCTTTGGGATCCAGTTGTAGACAAAGTCAGAAACAAGTTTGATACTTCGAAAGGCCTTCTTATTTCCAAAAAGGGAAAACTTACCAAGCACGAGCAGTCTTAAATAGCATTCCCTACTTATTTCTTTTCCCTTTTAAGAGCCCCATTAAGGTGATTCAGCAGCTTGAAAAGTTTATTAGAGATTTCATTTGGAGTGGTTGAAATCCTCCTCGAGGCAGTCATTTGGTTAAACGGAGTCGGTTGTCCTCCCCACTTTCCATGAAGGGTCAAGAGTGGGGTCCCTGAAGAAAAGGAACACGTCCCTGATATTGAAATGGCTTTGGAGGTTTTTCCTTGAGAAGGGCTTTTGGAGGAAGGTTATTGTTGCCATTTTTTTTATAAAGAGACATTCATTGAAAGAAAAAGAAGCCAAATACAGCCTAAGGGACAGGGGACGAGAAGACCCCCTCCAAAAAAGAAACTAAAATAGCAAGGCTCTCCAATCTTGCAAGATCATAGAGAGGTTGTAGTTACAAAAGAATTTCGTATTTCTATGGCACCACCAAGAGACTGTGATATGTATTACAAAAAGAATCGAAAGACTTAGACTTGTCATCAAAAGAACGAAGATTCCTTTCCAACCAAATGTTCCATAGCAACGCTCTGAAAGCACACTTCCACAAAAAATAGACCTTTCCTTTGAGCTGCCATCCATAAAAACATTCAAGCAGGCAGTCTTCAATGTTCCTAGGCAAACAAACCGAGATCCCAAAAATATCAAACAAGACCAGCCAACCTTTCTTAGTAAAAGGACAGTGAAGAAACAAATTGTCTAACGATTCTGCTTCTCAAACACAAACAGCAAACAGAAGGGGAGATCAACCAGCCTGGGCATTTCTTTTGTAGCCTCTCATAAGTGTTCAATGCTCGGTAAGCTAGCGTCCATAAGAATACCTTCACTTTCTTCGGGATGGTATCTTTCCAAATAAAATTAACTAATGGGTCCTGAAGCAAAGTGACATTGGTATCCACGAGGTTCAAGAGAGCTGATTTCGTAGAGAAAAGCCCATCCCCCTCAAGGTTCCAAACTATCTTTATCAGCCTCCCCTCCAAGGACAACAGAATCCAGCCTCTGCACCAGCCTCAACCATTGGTCTAATTCTCTATCAAAAAGATCCCTCCTCATGCCTAAATCCCACGTCTGGTTTCCCTCGTTCCAGCACTCAAAAACAGTCACGTTTTGTTTTAAAGATAGAGCGAACATATCTGGAAATTCGTGCACTAGGGGCAAGTTTCCAGCCCATTTGTCCAGCCAGAAGCTTAGTCTATTTCCTTGGTTCGCTTTAAAGACCACCGCCTCTTTAAAAGAACCCACATTTTTGGCAATATCAAACCATGGAGGTTATTGTTGCCATTTGTGGTAAGTATTGATATCTACGGTAATTCACCAAACAAATTAAAGTAGAAGTAAAAGGATGACCCTGGGTGGATATTTACAAAAACAGAGATAGTTCTCAGGTTTTATGAGATTCAATGCGGATAACAGCCAGAGAGTTAGATTTTGGGAGGATGCTTGGTCTATGGAGGAACCCTTTTCTGTTGTTTTTCCTGAATTTGATGCCTAATCTGCCAAGAAAGATGTGGTTGTTGCTGATTGCTGATTCCCGGAACTCTTCCTCTCAGACTTGGTACTTGAAAATTAGAAGAAGACTTTTTGATACAGAGATTCCTAGACAAGCTGAATTCACAGAGAGATTAAAGGCTTGTCAGATAGGAAATGGCAATGACAGAAAGCTATGGAGGATTAATTCGTCAGGCATCTTTTCCACAAAGTCACCTTTCTATAGCCTTATTTCTCGGCTTGCCAAACTAAAGGCCCCATGGTGGACTATATTTGGAAGTTTAAAGCTCCAAAGAAAGTTAAGATTTTTTTGTGGACTCTCTCGTCCAGAGGGTTGAATACAGATGGCAAGCTTCAAAGGAAGTTCACTAAGTGGTATCTTTCTTCCTCCATATGCTGCATTTTTGCTATAAAGAAGCTAAGAATTTAGACCATTTGTTTATCTTCTGCCCTTTTGCTCAGTTTGCGTGGTCCTCCCTCTCTGAGATAATTGATCTGGCTAGTTGTCTTTTGGAGAAGGTGAATATGTGACTTTTGGAGTGCCTTGGGGTTTCTTTTCTTAGAGAAAAAGCCAAGATCTTATGCGGTTGTGCTGTGAGGGCTGTCTTGTGGCTTATTTGAAAAGAAAGAAATCAAAGGCTCTTTGAAGATAGCATGTCTATAGTAGATTCTTTTTGGAGTAGTGTACGACATACTACCTCTTAATAGTGTACTAATCACAATAAATTATTTTGTAATTAAAGCTTCCTCATGACCACCAATGATTGGAAGATGTTAATTGTTCAACTCTTTTTTGGGTGGGGGTTATCTGTTCCAATGGCCCATAGGCTGTCTGCTTTTCGCCTTTGCTATTGCATTATGATGTTTCTTATAAAAAATTTACAAAAATTTTTAAAAAAAGGAAGAAGAAAATAAGAAAAAGAAAAAAGGAAGGGGAAAAAAAGGTAAGCCTGAAGACTTATCATCATTTTCCTCTTTTTAGTAATCCCACTACTAGCCTGCAGCTTCTGTTTATACTCGGCACCTGTTTATGTCATCTTCCCCTATTCATTTCATTTCTCTCTTCCTCCATCTAGCCAACATTAACCATATTATTCACCTTGTTAGTGGTTTCTATTTACCCCCAGTACCTAAATATGCGTTCTCTCCCTCCCGCCCAGTGTTTTAAAAAGCTTGAGGCGCACTAAAGCCCAATAAACCTCTGGAGCTTAAGTGCGAGGCGCAAAAAAAAGCGCGGGCTTTTTTTCGCCAAGCGCATTATATATAAAAATAAATAAATATATATATACACACATATAAAACATATAAAAGCCAAATAAGATTAGAAAACATCATAGGTCTACTCTTAGCATAAAGAATCATGGTCTACAAAAACATGAAAATGGTCCTAAACTAGTATAAGACTATAAGTATGATAGTTCAAAATAAAAATCTAAAGATCAAACTCATCATCACTAAATAGTCCTTCAATTTCATCATTTTCATCCTCTCCATCATTAGACTTGTAGCCATCTGCATCTTCCTCCTCGGTGTAATCTTCATCATCAATCAATTGTATGGGTGTGGGCCGTGTGGATTGAGAACTTGAAGCTCCAGCCATAGTCCTACTTCTTGACCTTGACGTGCTTGCTCTAGAATGATAGGCAGGTTCTTCTGCTCCAGCAGTTCTCGAAACATCACCCCATGTTAAGAAATCATCACAAAATACAAGATCATTATCCTCTTCAGAATCACTATCCATTCTCCCTATCAGCCACTCATTACTATCATCGATATCCTTCAAAGAGATAGGGTCGATTGTGTTCCGCATGTTATGTCGTCATTTCAATGTTCTATTATACTTTATGAAGACCAAATCATTCAGACGACCAGTGTTTTAAAAGGTGCACCTGGGCGTTATGCCCACCTATTGCGCCTCGCCTTGAAAAGGCGAGGCGATCTGAATGAGGCGCGCGCCTCGTTAGAAAATTCAAAGCCCATGAAGCACAGGCTTCATGGGCTTTGTTTTTTTAAAAAAAAATAAAACGTACAGACCCTAAACACAGAAACCCTTGCGTTTAGGGTCTGTTTAATTAAATGGAATGAGTAAATGAAAACCGCCGCACGCCTTTTCCGATTTCCAATCTTAATTTGATTTTTTTTTTAAATGGAAAGAATCTCAACCGTATCGTCTTCTTCATTTTCTTCCCATGCACGTAAAAAACTCAATAGTCACTGCATCTCTCTCTCTCTATTTCGATTTCGACTTTCATTGCATCTCTCTCTCTCTATTTCGATTCGATTTCGACACTCTCCATGACTCTGTCTCTCTTTGTATCTCCTGTGGCCGGCCGCCAGTGGTCGTGTCGTGTGTGAGCGGTGCCGGTGACTCTGTGACTGTGAGCAACTCTCCCACTCCATTTGTAAGCTCTCTCTAATTTTTTAATTCTCCAATCCAACAGAAAGTGCTTATCTTTCCCTCTGTTTCTATTCTAATACAAAACAGCAAGCTCCGACAACAAAGTTATAGTATTCAATTTCTATTTCTCCACTCCAACAAAGTTACAGACAGTAAGCTATTTCTCTATCCCTTCTTCACTTTCTATTTCTCCAATCCAACACTATTTTCTTCAATTTCTCCAATCCAAATCAGTAAGCTCCGTCCCTCTAATATTCTGTTTTTTTTTTCCTATTGATTACAATTTTACATAGATGTCTAATGAAGGCCAAAGAAAAGATCCGGCATGAAAGTATGCTACTTTGGCAAATCCTCAAGATTTGACTACTTTTATATGTAGTTTTTGTTCAAAAGTCACAAAAGGAGGAGTTTATAGGTTGAAACAACAACTTGTTGGTGGTTATAGAAATACAACCACATGCAAGAAATGTCCGGATCATGTGAAGGAAGAAATTAGGGAGCACATGTCCAAGAAGAAGGAGATCAAAGAATAAAGAAATCTTATACCTGATATTGATGATCAAGATCTCGGTATGGATGATGAAGATGAGAATGATTTGATCATAACTAGTTCGAGTAAGAGACCTTCTAGTCAAAGGCCAAGTTTAGACCCTAAGAAGCCAAGACAGAAAGGTCCAATTGATGCATTTTTTACTCCTAATCCAGAGTTAGTAGTTCTGAATCGAAAGAATGAGAAAGGCAAACAAACGACACTCAATGAAGCTTACAAAAAGGAAATGAGGGAGCGCACAGTTCAAAGAATTGCGCGATGGTTTTATGATTCTGGAATTCCTTTGAATG